TTAATGTGAATTAACTATTAGGGCTATCGAAATTTGAATCAGATAAATGAAAGTTATGTACACTATCTGGTAAAGTAGCTTATTTGAGCTAGTCAGTCAAATTGTGGAATCTGGTTCGTACTATATCAATTCGAATTACCATACACCATTAACGAACAGAGATGAAATTTTCAGATCAAATCCCAGAGTATAAGATATAGTAACAATATTAGTAATAGTATAATTAAATCGACTTTTAATATAGACGGTGGTTGGGCATAAGCAACACATGCTGTCTCAGATGGTGAAGATTTCCATCTCATCAATCGACTTACCTGGTATCCTATTCCTAACACAGACACTGATTAATCGCTGATCCGAGAGTACACAAGTAATCCTTCAAAAACCTTTGTGATCCAGTAGTAGTAACCTACGAATATCCTCAATTACCATTGGCTATGTCCGACACCCATAAAGTAGAAAAGAGATAACTACTTCACAGCATACTCGTCCTTTGGATTTGTTGAGTCTACCTTGTTAGACATTAAAATTACCAGACACTATTACAACATCAGAGAATTTAATTCTTTGGAGGTTGAACAGCAGCATGCGTTAATGGTGTGAGGCTCTGGAATCCGAGCTAAGAAAGTATGTTGTCCTATTCGGCACAAGGTCTGAACAGTAGAAGCTACATGTAGTTTAGAGCGAGGTTTCCGTAGATCAGGTTTAACATCTCGTGCACTCGAATCGTTAGCATTAATAGCATGAGGTGATAAAGGTATACGAGAGAGGTTGGTCGTGGAGATGAGAGAGTTATTAAGAGGTGGGAGAAGGATTTGATAAAGAATAAGTTGATCGCGCATGCTGGCAGGCGTATGAGGGCGGATGTCACTTCCCGGCTGCCCACATTGTGCAGGATTATTTCTTCTTGAGGGATATGAAAACGAAGGTGGATCGGTAAAGATTTGAGTGACCTAGGAGCATGAGCGCAGAGCAGAAACGACAACTACTTGGGCTCGGTCGCGCACGACCTTCTCATCGGAAGTTTTCAAAGGTGTTAGCTTTGCTCTCTAGAAAAGCCTTATCACCGGAGACGGAAATCCCAGGATTAAAGTGAGGTGTGACATTCTTAGGGTTGACCTCTTCTAACCCCTTCCTTTCCTTAAACAAGGCAGCATTGCTGCAGATTCTGGTTGTCGCAGGGAAACACCTTACTGCCGTTACAACCCTCCAAAGTCAACAGTACGACTTCCCCTGCAGACCTTTAGTGTTTGCTCCTAATATTACTGTTCGCCATTCGACCTGCCTGGCACGGTAAGACCTAGAGGAACATGTGTTCCGTGCAATATTGCTCGGTCGGGTTATCACGATAGGCAAGCCCAACCACCGAGTCGAGGTACCAGCTACAGCTAGTGGCATGGCCGCATACAAAATATTCAAACAAAATGAATGCAGTTACATATTATGGGTAATTGAAGAATATCAGGTCAATCGCTTGTAAATTAATTAACACTTGACTCGATTTTTTCTAGTGCGTATCAAATACATGACATGTACCACTCGTATGAGTAAATTCATAGTGTACATTAGTTTTTGTGAATCCATCAAAACAGCCAATGTTTTTAAGAGATATTTCCACTGAACATTATGTTAAATTATATTGGTATTTAATCGAAACTATATAAGTGAAGTGATTTAGATTTCCGCAATCACTTTGTCTTACTACAGTAGATATAATAGTTTATGATTAATGATTGTTCACATACATAATAGTACAAACTTTATACATCCATCAACTTTGTATGAATTACGAGCCAACAAATAAATCTTCAGCCCAAGAAAAAGAAATAAGGTAACTACTAGACGAACTTTAAATTTGTATCTTTCAACATGTAAACTCATAAGCAGATAATAATTTCAAAGGTATTGATTATTATTAATGAAATACCAACCCATAGATTTATTGATATATAGATTGAATTCACACTTTATTTGAAAAAACCAAACATTAATCAGATCAAGCATTCATTACTCACAAGGCCCAAATAATCAGTCGTTAGGCAGTTACAACGTAGAACTTCGTGCGTACGTACGTGCATCAGTCGAAGTTGCCATACCACAAAAGCACAGAGACCCAATTGTCAATTCAAATCCCGTAGTGCTTTATGTAGTAGAAGTATTAGCGGTAACGGAGAATATTAGGGTTCGAAGAAATTACTCAAGTATAATCCAGTCAAATAAATTTAAAAAGAGAAAGTTTATGTACCTAAGATGACCTAGGAAAAACGTTATATTACAAAATTAACACGTTTAGAAAAGTTTTATCTCACAGTTTAATGATTATCATTTTTATCGAACTCTTAAATCCAGTCAATCGAAATTCACTGAAACAGTTGAGTGCCAATCATTACATAATATCTTTTAAGCTCATAGTCACTGGATAGGAAGTACTTACATCTAACGATACTGTTGTAGGCATATACATATATAAGTTTGATTAACATAGGCAAAGCCTGAAAATGACTAGTCATTTCAGAAAATTACAAAAGTCATCGCAATCAACATATCGAAAATCATTAGGACACCAGAAAACATAGCTCGATAGGGCAGTCAGGGGTTAGGCATACGTAACACATGTCCCAACCATCTCAATATCTCGTCTATTGATCTCCCATCCATACCTAGTAATTAATTCCTTACGACAGAATTGCTTATTAGGTCATCCTAGTATACACGGGCAATGCTTCGAAGACACCGACGATCGAAAATCAGTAACGTTCGGATATCCTGGATTCTAACTGACCATGTTTCGCATCCACAACGTAGGACTGAGAGCACTGCCGCGCAGTAGACTCGTCATTTGGTTAGCAAACATATATCTCACCTACGCCATAAATGACGCAAGTTGGCAAAAGCTAATCGACCCTTCTATAGGAATAGGTTGGAAGAAAGCTAGGGGCGGCCAGACCAAAACATGGCATAAATCCATGAAGTCATTGACAAGTAGACTTAGCCATGTCGGTAATTGTCGACTACCTGGTTTGGGTCCGCGAGATGATAATAATCGATGGCTAGAGACCTTGAATGACATGGCTCAAAATCGTTCGCAATGGCGCCAGTGCATTTATTCTTTGTGTTCTCTCAAATCCTAATCTTCTGGGTTCTTCAACACCTCTAGTTTTGACTTTCTCAACTTATCTCATTGAATCATACTTCGTGAATAATATCTTCTAATTCTAACCCCTCCGATTACTTCTAATACCTTTACTACCTCTTCTACTATTGGATTTGAATTGACAATTATATCTCTGTGCTGATGTGGTATGGCGACATGAACTGATGTACTTACGTACGAAGTTCTACGTTGCAACTGACTGACTTCTATATCCGTGCTGAGACTTCATCAGTCACAAGCCATCAGCACTGGTGAGAATCCCCAGATACGTGAAGCGGTCAGAACGCTCAACTACTCCATCCCCTATAACTAGTTCAGGTGCCGATGCAAGCTTGCACGCTTGCATTGTTGTTTGAGGTGATCGGAAGACTACATTTCGCCAGCGTCTTCACAAAATAGAACTGTATCATCGGCAAACTCTAAGTCAACAAGCGAATCTACCGATAAAAGTAGAATTCCTGTAAAATCAGACGAGGAAAGAGCTATTTCTAAAATCATGTCTATGACAAAGTTGAATGAGAATGGAGCAAGTAGATAACCTTGACGGACACCACCAAAGTAATGACTCCGGTGACAGTTCGCCATAAGCTCTAACTCCACAACTAGTGTTCGAGTAGAGAGCTTGTATATGGTTAATGTACTTCTTTGTTACTCCTTTCAGTGACAGACACAGCCACAGGACCTTACAATCAGTAAAGTCAAGTGCCTCATTAAGGTCGAGGAACACCACTATTGTGGGATGTCTGAACATGTGTCTTTGTTTTAGGACCTGACGTAGTGAGAATAACTGGTCTATACACTGACCTCCAGGTTGGAAACCAACCACCAACTGTTGTTCCTCTGGTCATTCTACTAAAACATATTCAGAGACAACTTGACCACGCATCTGGTCGTAATACAAATGGCAACATATAATGACTTCTCATCTTATGATTATTATCAACTGCAGTTCAATAATGAATGACAACCACTATGCAGTTATCATTTTATGACCCAACTGTCCTTGTTCTATGTACGAAAACTCTGTGCTATGTCAATGCAAAATCATCGATCGTTAATCTAAGCCTAACTCTACCGTGTATTATTAAAACATGTTCACGCTTAAGTGTTTTTATTTGCGTATTTTGTCAGCCCTACAGATCAATTTTCCGTATATTTCGCCCAACTTATTTTTCGATTTATTCCGTTGTCATACACACAAATGATAAACGATTAGTCACATGTTATTTTCACACTACTCTAAATTTCTCTTTACGAATTTGTTATTTTATTGCACAAACTATCACACCATACACGCATATTCATTTTTTTCTAGATACGCTTATTAATTTGCGCATAATCACATGCTGCCACTTTCAGTTGTGTAAAAGCCTATACGATATTCATATACTTTGTTACATAAGTTTGAAACTTTCGTAGCATAAACTCTGTGACACCTTTGTTATACATGATTTACGTAAAAGTTTATTATACATGATGGAAGTAAAGCAGTGAATCTTTTAAAAATACGAAAGTAAGACGATTTGCACTGATCAGAATAAACTTGCTTGTAACCAATGTCAGCTGAATAATTACCTCTACTCCGCAATATTGTGCAAAAGTCAAACTAAGTACTACAAAATTAAAAGGGGATTTTATAAATATCTACAGTCGGGATGAAAGCAGTCACTCAATTAAAACGGAGAACTCTGTACGTACGTACGTACATCAGTTCAAGTTGCCATAGCACATTAGCACAGAGACGAGATTAGCAATTAAAATCCCATAGTGGTAGGAACCGTAGAAGTATTAACGGTAATGGAGATTAAGATTCGAAGAAATTATTCAACAAGTAGAATCCAGTGAAATAAATTTGAAAAGGGATAAAACGGTAATGAAGAATTCAGAAAATTAGAATTTGAGGAAAAACAGAGAATGGATGCATCTGTACCACCGCAAACAATTTTGAGCCATTTCGTTCAAGGTCTCCAACCATCGGTTACGACTGTCTCGCGGACTCCAGGTAGTTTACACCTACCAACACAGCATAGTTTAGTTGTCAGTGACTTCATGGATCAGTGACATGTTTTGGTTTGGCCACCCCTAGATTCCTTTCGGTCTACCTCTACACCAGGCATCATAGCCCTCCGAGGCAGTCATTGGTAGGGCATTCGTAATACATGTACCAATCACCTCAAATGATGATGAATTACGATGCATTCCATGTATTAACTCAGCATTATCGTTCTGGCACTTCAGAAATCGAATGATAATTAGGATTTGGGTTAAAAGGGTCCAGTAGTATTACTCTATTATTGAGAAAAAAATTATAGACACATTTTATCAAAAGTAAGATACTTACGTGCGAAGTCTCTGACGATACGAATTCGATACAACGTTAACATGAACTTCTTCATTTGATTTATTTGGATTAAGATATCCGTTGTTGGAATTGGAATCCGATGGATTTGGGCAACCTGGACATGATGGACCACCACCGTAGGAATTTTCACCGCGTCCACATTGATTGTTACATGCTGCCCGTAACAACAATTTATGTCGTAATGTCTGAGACATAAAAGATAATGTCATATCAATTAAGGGGAAAAGTGAAATTTTCATTGGCGATTATTGAATACACAAGAAGTCAATATAATGAAAGTATAATGATACATACTGAACAATATTAGAATAACACTATAAAATTAGAAATAAAAAATTCTGGTAGACAATGACAACAGTTTTTTTCAAAAATTCAGTCGAGATATTTATTTCTAGTAATTTACATTTAAAATTAAACATTCAGGGAGTGCGTGACATTTACAATCACAAAGAAGTGATACATATACACTTATGAAAATCATAATTTACTTTGGATTCTTTTAACTTAACAGTAAATTTTGGAATAATACATTCTCATCATTCGTCATTATCAATACAATACTGTTGTTGAAATGAAAGTATTTCAAAAAGATTTCCTGGAATTTTTATTTCGAATGATTCGACTATCACAAAGTTTATATGTCATCATTACATTTTTAAAATTAAAGCAGTGACTGACAGATATTGATAGCTTTTAAAGTTGAGCTTTTGGAACTTCAAATTCAACTGGACTTACTACAATCTAGATAGCCACGTAGCATCAATAATACTAATATAATAGTCTGCAAACAAAGTGTCTGAAAATAATTTTAGTTACCAACGTCATTATTAATTAATTAGTAATGAAAGAAGTATCATTGTGTAAGTACAAGCTGTATATTATATTTCAACCAAGTTAATTAAACAGTTGGATGAATGGACTGTCCTTTCAATTTTCACGTTAGAAGCTTAATTTACAAAATAAATGATGTGATTTGAATCGGTATTCAGTAGCTTTAGCACTTTAGAAATATCTCAATAGCTTTCACTCTGCATGCTATCTCTACTAGTTCTGGAGATCAGTGAAAAAGAGAAAAGTTCATCATTAGTATTATTATTGTTGTTTAAACATATAAACATTGGTACAAAAGAACCCCAAAATACATATACACCACACAATAAAGATAAGACTGTCTAGAGATAGAGAAAGGAGGGTGAGTATAATAGAGGGAAGAACGAAAATAAACAGAAATCAGTGTATTACAGGGTCAAAAAATAATAGTGAAAGCAGTTCAATTAAGGAAAATACAACCAGAAACTATTCTTCCAGTTAAAGAAGTCCCTCACATTTATGTGAAGAAATTAAAGGAACGACACGGCAGGACCACAACTGACTTCTATTCTGAGGTATGTCCGATAACGTCTTAAGCCACTCTGCTGCAACATCTCTAGGACCTCAACTAGGGAATCGTGAAGGACCAACAAATGCCAGTCCTAGAAAACTTACTTTCATGCTACCATACCATGTCATACACTGGCCACTCACCGCTTATTCCTACCATTCCCAGAGTCGTTATATAATGTACGATGTAAAATTCGCTGACATGACGTTCGTAGTACTGATTGAATTCTCGTCTACATGTCCAAACACATATTTCCGAACATATAAAAACTAACATGGTGTTGCCAATGGATCTGAATTTCATTATACGTGAGCTGACCTCATCACCCACGCCACTGCGAGCATTCACCAAGCTACCCAGATATAGGAACCTTTTGATTACTTCTATCTGCTCAGTACCATGAGTGAGTGAAGGTTCCTGGTTCTTTACATGTAGTAGGTGTAAAGCACATGCCATACCTATGGACAATTACTGCCGACTGATAATGACAGCTTTAGTGCCAAGTAACGCAACGATTCTTGGCCTGAGATAAGTGTGGTGGTGTTCTAATATTTGGCGGAGGGTGAAGGTATGATCAAATCAAATTCAACTACAACTAAAGCCAGCCTACTCCTCTCGAGTTTCGAACAATCTGCAAAGTATGATAGAAAACAATAATTTAGACGTGATAGGACGTATGTTTGTCCTTCGGATAACTTCCGAATCCATCCAAGATGTTGAGACACTCTGATTACCAAACGGCTGTGAACCACTCAGCCAGTTTCATAGTTAAAAGGTCGCCACAATCTTTAAAAAGGGCCAAAGGTAAGTTATCCGGGCCCGGTGATGTCTGTCACTTCATAAGTTGGAGTTCTTTGAGGACTTCCGCATTGTTAATTGGATCAGTAATAACCGGCAATGGGGGGAAAGGCAGTCTAATAGATGTCACTGTAGCAGCAAACCAGCTGGACTGTTCCACGAAAAACTCTGTCCTTCGATCACAACGTCCTTGGATGTTGCTGATTGGTGTCCCTACAGCTTCACAAATTGTTTCACTTACACCGGTTTTCTTGCTGCCAAAGGCTCGGATGAATTGACAAAGCTTCTGGCAGTTATAAGACGCAGCTCCTGATTCCAACACATTAGCATTCTCCAACCATTAGATCTCTCGGACCCCACACAAATTTTGCACTATTTGATTACGTAACAGCATTCTTTTGTCGTAAAAATTGGCGGTTACCCAGAGTCGACCGACGTACCTTAACGAGTTTTAAGGAGACTGTAGAAACCAAGTGCTTACTAGTGCGACGTTTTGCTAAGCTGCAAGCGACTTTACTTTCCATTTTCATGGCGATGTGCGATTTCAGCTAGTGCGTATCTTAACATTTCGATCGATAGCTAGCCTTGAACCGAGCTGGGCTTGTCCCTTAGTTACAACAGAAGTCGTGACCAAATTATTGACATCGATTTGTATATGACAAAGAATTTTACGGCCACTGAAAACTAAGATAAGACTAACGCAAGCAAGAGCATGGTAAGAGTCCAGATAAGTACTCGAAAAGAACAGCAATCTTATACATAACCACGTCAACTGTAGCTGACCGCAGTGTGATCAGTCTGAGTCTAGACTTGAGATACAAAGGATGGAAGCCAAGTAACACATCGGCGATGACTGTGGCGATATTTAGTGCTAGCCAGAAACAGGTTGTGCTCCATGCAAAGTTGCAGTAAACGACCGCCTTTATCTGATCTGCGATCGACAAGTCCCCATGGGTTACCCGAACGACTCTCCTGTGCCTAGACGCCCAACCACCGACCGTAGCTGCTACCTTAACGTGGTGGTCAGACTTGCCTATCGTGATGACCCAGTCGAGCTATATTGGCTGGAACATCCGTTTCTGTAGGTTCTACTGTGCCAGGCAAGTCGACTGGAGAACGATGAGACTAAAAGCAGCTACTCAAGGTCTGAGGGCGAAGTCGTACTGCTGACTGCAGAGGGGTGTGACAGAAGTAAGGTGTTTCCCTCGGACAACCAGCACCTGCAGCGATTCTACCTTCTCACAACGAAAGGAAGGCGTTAGAAAGGTCGACCCTAAAGGAGCCATGCCTGAGGTTACCTTACGGATTTCCATTCCCAACGGTAAGGCCTTTCAAAGAGCAGAGCTAACAAGTTGAAAATTTCCCATACAAAGGACGTGCGTGACCAGCCTCACGTAACTGTCGTTTGGGCTCTGCGGTCATGCTCCGAGGTCGCTAACAGCAACATTAATCTAACTTCCGTATCAGGTTCCTCAGGAAATACGCGTCGACGGTATGGGTAGCCGGGAGGTGACATTCACCATCATACCCGAAACAAAATACGAGACCAAATTAGTCACAATTAAACAGTTACTACACCTCTTATTAACTCTCTTTTCTCCACGACCAACCCTTCTTTTATTCCTTCGTTAACTGGCGCCGCTGATGGCAATATTTGTTACCTATTAAGATGGAATCGTCAATTTAAATCTAATAATGGCAAAAGTAGTAGCAGTATTTGCGGTAATCTAAAAGATCAGGAATCGATTATATGATTCCAGAGGTATATTCCAGTGAAATGAACCTAAAAAGAGAAAGGTCAAAATGGATGCACTAGCGCCACTGCAAACGATTTTGAGCCATATAGTTCAGTCTCTGACCACCGGTTACGGTTGCCTCACAGACCCCAATCAGGTAGTCTACAAATACTAGCAAGGTTCAGTCCAGTTATCAGTGACCTCAGATTTATGCTATGTTTTGGTCTTCAACGTGTTAGGAGACTCTCAAAATAAATCCATCTACATAAACACTTAATTTTATTTTCTATTCATCTAGAAATCACTCTTCCTTATCGTCATCCTTGAAATGAGCACTTCTTTCTCAAAACCCAGTTTCTGTTTATAAATTGATTCCGTTACCTGTTTCTAAAAAACTTCAACTGGTGTCATGATAACATAAACTCCACCACTGGTTCGGGATCACGGTTTTTCGAATTTCCTAAGTGGATACCCCGTACCCACTAAGAAATGATGAGGTGGTTCATTTGCAACATGGTGTCCTGAAAAAGAGGACACTTTTAGTGGATCCGCATTGGTTGGTTTGACACGGCTTCCGCGATAAAGTAAAAGGGTCGTACAACTCAGTGGATTGAACTGTTACTGAGCATGTTTCCATGAACAGATCAGTGGTGATTCTGGCGTAGTCTTTTTTATCAAAACGTACAATTATGACGAAATTATCGCCTATTTGCTCCTCATATGAACTGTATCTAATATTACAAAATATTTTTTCGTCTTACATCATTTCACAAAACCACTATCCCGTTTCATGCAGCGTGATCGTAATAGCTTATTTACTAAGCTTTGTGTTACAAATAATTCGTTGTAACAGTGCGACTTCAAGTAACAACTTGTATGGATCTCAGGAAATTAATACCTACCACTAGGATTTAAAAAAAAACAAGTATCATGACTTCATCATACTAAGGCTAAGAATTTTTCTATTGAGTAAAAGATGAAATTAACAGACGTCAGCTTATTGACAAAATAACAACTTACTTCTAAAGCTTCATATATGATAGCGAATATAAAAGAGCCAAAGCATGCTATGATCGCTTCTGCAAGTTAAGAGTATTATTTTGAGAAAAATATCATTTACTTCCAACTGAATTAATGACCCAGGATGAGAACAGTAATGTGTAGTGGAGATCAGTATTAAAGTACATCTATAAATAATCTTGCACGACAGAAATGAATCATACTTTCATGTCCATGGAATGCTCGCTTGATTGCATGCTAGAATGGGACGGTGAATCATGAGAATGGTGGGCATGATCCATCCTTTTGTCTAGATATTAGTTTCAAGATTAGGAGGATAGAAAACCCCGTATTGGAGATACATTAAAAATTAGGAAAGAAAACATTTGATTGAAGGTAATCTAAAATTGATCTCCTTGCTTTTCTTAAACTCATAAAATGTTAAAACCACACCAACAATGTGAACGATGACATACACATAAGCCGACTCACATAACAGTAAGATGAAACTAGTGACAGCTAAGAGTTTTATGTGATTTATAGTATAGGTACAGACACAAGTTCTAACTTTCGTGAAAAATGTAAAACAAACTACACCAAGACAATAAGTCAATTATCCGGAGACATATCTGATATAGCCCCAATCTAATGAATTACACAAATTACAGCTATCTCCCATATCGCGACGCCAAAAATGACCCAGAGCAGCATAAATCGTTCTGGGTTTACCAACACGAACTGAGTTTATGTCATGCTACCGCTGCTAGCGTGGCATAAATGTTCAGTGTTGGGATAAGCTGTTGCAAGTCTTACTGAAGGACATCGCAATTTACAGATACGAAATACACACAGTACTTAAGGAATTTAGTTGCCAACCGATTAAGTGCAGTTTGGATTTTTTGTTAACATGAATAAGTGTTCAGTGTTCTCATAGATTGGTCTCTGACAACATCTCAGCACGAGTTGGGGAAGGTCAGCTGACGTTTGCCAGGCTACACCGCTCGTGGCGCAAATGAGATATCCATATATTGACCAAATGACGAGTATTCTGTGCAGCGATGTGCTATGTTCTACTCTACGGCTGTGAAATGTGGTCTTTACTGGTATTCAATCAAGTAATATTTCATTTGCAAACAGACTGTTAGGTAGAGGTGGCAAATCCATTAATGACGCAGTATACCCTCATGAACTACGCCTGTAGACCCTTTGGTGTTACTGTCAGTCCCAAGCCCGGATAAAGTATTTGTGACAGAATCCCGTCTCGTGTACTGTTGCATGTGTGAGGGCGGATGTCCGATTCCAGCTGCCCACGCCGTGGAACGGCTCTATTTGTCAGAAACTCCACCTGTAGACCGTTTGGGACTAGTGCCGGTCCCAAGTCCGGATAAAGTAGGAGGGCTGAGATGTGGGTGGGCGACCCAGTCCCGGGAAAAACTAACTTGCCAAAAAACGCTAACAAGAAAAAATAATTCAAACCATATAAACTGTCAGACTGAGTTCATATGGGTAGCTGCAGGCTAACTAATTGAAATCCGCGTAATTATCCAAACCGGGGCTTACTAACTATTTAAACATGGCTCAGAACCAATCGGTCCTAAGACTCCAGGTTTCTAAATTGTACGTGACGGCTTTCATTTGACTATTTGGGACTTTCTTTCAGATGCTTAATCTCTTCTGTTAGCGCCAATACGCTACTATCTCCACCACTGTATGATTGCCTCGACTATTTCATCTCGCTATCGAGTTAGACAGGTATATACATGTTGAGTTGCATGTAGCATTTTTCCGACTAACTGGCTCATGAGGCAGTTGTTTTAAGTGAGACCTAAGGAACTTGACGAAACTGGTGACCGAATTATGCCTAGTCATCACAAACCATATAAACTCATTCCTAAGCACCTGTGTGACGAACGGTTAACTTTGGGATGTTACAACTATTGTAAAGCGTAATTGATACGGGAATTAGGGAATGTTACCTATACGAGACTAAACATGCAGAGCTAATATACGATACAACGATTATGACAACGATATGGGAGTTTGAAGATTGGTTGGACACTATAGCAACCACAGTATATACAGTATCGGGCAATTTTATATAAAATCAAGCGTTAATTGATTTATCCATATGTGTGAGTGAACCAGTTAACTAAATAGGAAGATATAAATGCACTTAATGGCAAAAATGGTGGTGGGGGAAAATAAAAATATATTTCTTATACAAGCAAAATGGACTGAGCAATAGTGTAGAGTCAAACCTAACTTTCCTGAAAACGAATTCGGTAAATTTGTCGAGGTGTTAGTATAATTATTCATAGTTACGACAGACGCTGAAATGCCCTACATGGTGCAAACTAATGAATACGTTTCTATTTATCTATCAAAACACAAATCGGTACTATAAAAGCACTAGGATATATGAGCGCCGCACAAAACACTGAATTTGTGTAGGCGGAAATACTTTCTAGGTTTCCGAACTGAACTATAATTTCAGTGAGCACTAAGGACCAAGATCTTGCCCTCAAATGAAAGATGGTTGTTCTCAGAACAGAAACAAACGCTAGATTTCAGATGCGCATAATAGTTATCGTTGAGGATAAATGTGATAATCCTATATCACCAAATATTCAAAAATAAGTCCATCTAGTGTCGACAATAAGGAGAAGCAATCCTGAAGATGTAGAGCTTATCTCTCACTGTTAATGTATTGCTACAACAAGCAGACGTTAAGTTCTCCGTTTAAAAATATTCGTTTGAACGAAACAATCTATTCTAGTTCTAGAATCCGAAACCAGTTTACGAATAACTGGTATGCAGAACGAACCTAAATAAAATATGTATGAAGAGAACGATAGGCTGAAGCATATTTATCGAAACTGGAAAAAGAGGACTTACGGACTAATCCGGACCGAAACAAAACTGTAGCACACTTCGGACAGATCAAACTAGCCCCCTATTTATTTCCACGACCTTCAATATCCAATATCTTGTCCACGAGCTAGTATAAACCAACTGATTTCTTTGTGCTCAATTCTTGTTCCTTCGGTACAGTTCCAGTTGTTTGGTATTATCCAATCAATGAGGGTCTAGTCTGATTCTAATCAGCTGGCAGTTGATTGTGAGTTTGTTGTCCCGTGATTTCGAAGAAAACGTTTGATTCAAGGCAATAGGGTTTCTGGATACCATTAGCTATCACATTACCAGACCGGAGATCAGTTAGTTACAAAGTGGAGGATAAGGGGAAAACTCTAATGCTAATAGGAGGATTTCAGAACTAAGAACTAGATAATTTAGTTTAATAATTGGTTGTAAAGATTGTGAGAGGGAACCGTAGTGTAAGCAAGGGAGCGGAACACAAAGATAAAGATTAAAGATAGATTAATTTAGTAGTCTGAGTAGATGCCAGTAATAAGGACTAGCAAGTTTCAAGAAATTCATTAGGCACAGCTTTTCCAAGATGGAGATGATAATCTGCATATAAGTACGTGATTATCAACTCTTTTCTTAAGGTCATCCACTAAGTCGGCTGTGGTAACCGCGGCTGGGAGAACGTTTCAAGTTGCGACGACGCTCAATGGGAAAAAGTGTGCACGAACCTGAATACTCTCTCTCTCTCTGATGTCTAATTTTACGAGGACTGCCTCGAAGGAAGTGGTGATGCATCGGTAAGATGCACACGTTGGGATGGTTTGGTGTGCTTAATATGTTGTACGCCATAATCAGATCACCTCTGGTTCTCTTTTAACTCAGGAATAATCCAAATTGCTGGAGTCTATCTTTGTAAGGTTTGTTCTTCAACCCTATCACCCATTTCATTGCTCGTCTCTGCGCTCAATCTCAGAGATTAATGTCTCTTTTAGGCAGAAATGATATGACGTTGTGAACCTCCAGGTGTGGGCGCCCGTATGTCTTAAATAACGTTAGGAATATTTGTGGGATGATAGAACCAAGTTGTCTTCGCATAAAGTGAAGCGACACATTTGCCTTGGCTTCGTCCCCTATATATTTTGGGCTTGTATGGAGGCTTTCTGTGGTTATTAAACCGAGATCACGCTGTGAGGAGACATTAGGGAGCGCACTTTCATTGAGGGTGTAAATCGTTTGCGTCACGTGGGGACAGAATGTACATGACGTGATACTTTGGTTGTTCTTCACTGCCCATTTCTGAAGCAATCTTCCTCGCCTCTAATGGACTGTAGAATCTATTTTGAAGGCTTTGTTTTGGGAAAATCCCTCCATGTTCATATTTGTAATATGATCTTACTGACTCTTTCTGTGTGTTACGCCTGCATATAAACACGCCAACTTGATATACTTCAACTATTACGAGTTTACCTAGTCGTTAAACGAGAGCGAGGATCGAGGATACGGTGACACGACATGCTACTCACATCCGATTATCCCAACCCCCATATTGAGTGAAAATAAGAAGACTTGATATGAAGTGGAACATGTATTCTACTAGCATCCAGAAAGTACGAGGTCCGAGTCCAGAAGAGAATCAGGATCCCGGATTAGGGATCCGGGACCGGGTCCTGGTCATAAAACGTTACAGATAATGCGTATTTATACATTTCGGTCGAATAGGAAACAGCATCGAAGTCCTTGACATCGACTGTTAAGACCAGTGGGAATTAACCAATAGGAATAGACCACTAATTCTCTCGGGATATTGGATGAATATCCGAAAACTTCGCTACATTTTGGTGCTCTGTTTAATCACGTTTTGGGATGTTATTATTTGCATTTTGTTATAGTTTCTATTTTTTGTACCCTATTTGGTGTTTCCATGTTCCCTACCTAACTGTATTATATTGTTTAAGTAAGTAAGGTAAACGTGAATCTGGACTGGAAAGGTGCAATTTTGGACCAATACTGAAGCATTCTTCCAGAATTGGGAGCACATTGTGTTAAATTTGACGGAGAAAGGTGTGATATTGTTTAGGTAACTATCCGTACCTTCTAAATAATAATAGAACCGTTTCTTACCCAGATAAATTGATTTCTATTGGGATCATCCGGGCAAGGCGCGTATCTAAACTTCTAAAACTGTTTTACCGAATTCAGAATCCACTCTAAACCTTACATGGACCTTCAGATCTTCTCATCGTGTGTGTAGATCAATGCCGGTGAGCTAACTGAGCCTACCAGACCGTTAATTAATATCAGGAAGAGAAGTAGACCCAAGATGGTCCCCTGTGAACCTTCCGATGTTGTGACTCGCCAGCTCGCAAGCACTCTGTTTACATTGGTACGAAACTGTCTATTCTCAAGGAAGATTTGAAGCCAACATGCAAGTGGGTCAGTGGAGCCTACTTGATTTAGAATATACCAATCGATTTCTTAGCGCTCGACTCTTGTTCCTTTGGTAGGGTTTCAGGTATTTGGTTATGTCCAATGGATGAAAGTCTAACCACTCTACTGTACTGATTCTAGTCAGTCGGTACCTGTTTGTGGATTTGTACGCCTCGTGCTATTTATTCACTGAGCGTGGAGTTTCTCTAAGGCTACTACAATACGTAAGCCCGGACTATAAGGACGGTCAGGCTTGTGCTTAGCCACCTCATCCCGTAGAAGACTAACTTGCCAAAAAGCGCTAACCATAAAAAATAAATTAGGCCATTGTAACTCCGCACGTGGAGTTAGAAGGTCTTCTCTCAGAAGAGTTATGACGCCTCATAATGCAAACCGAGTTTCTTAGGAAGTCACTAGGGTGATGGACCATCTCAAAACCAGGGCAGCTATTCCTTTTAGTACCTGGAGTATCCAAACATTGTGGGTAAGCGGGCGACTATTCCAAATGGCTGCAGAGATGAAAAGGTACAACCTGAAGGTTGTACCACTTGACACACCACAACTCTTCCTTCTTCATTGATATACTCGTTCATTTGTGGGTTACATTCTCATATTCCGATGATTTACTTTAATTTTAGTGATCATCATGAATTTTATGTTCACTTACCACTATACTGACTACTTCAACATGAGAGGTTAAGCAATGCTTTGGTCTCGTTGCTGCCTTTTTACTCTCTCTATTTTCGCTCTTTCCAGAACTCCATGGCGCCTCTAGGCAGCATGCACTCGATGTAGAAGCTTGTCTCGGTCACAACTTGTATCAAGCGCTTTCCAGTTGACCTTTCCCGACAAATTCACTATTTGTCTCAGCAAACCACCAAAGAAACCTACTAAGCACCTTCCCTAAATGTACTCACCTATTAAAAATGTAGCTGTATCATAATTTTTTTGTCGGTGACATGGTGTAAATGTGCTATCAGAAACTGACACATATTCAATTTAACTGAGCTAACTTTTTCAGTAAATGTGTTAGAATTTGTGACAATTTGACCTAGCCTGTAAACTGGTATGCCTCTTGTGGCGTAGTTATTTCAGAATAAATATTATTATTATTGTTACAGTTTGTAACAAATTGCTGCATTTAGCTTGATCATTATTATGGTTATATGGGTGAGCAGGCTGCATATTTATAGGTGCAGCGGTTTCAACTAAGGATAAGGGCAAAAGAAACACTTTAATATTCATTTGCATGGGTGGTTTCTGATGGACCTCTTCTGGCGCTAACTCGACCTACGTAACCAAGGTAAACACATACTTCATTACTGTAATTAATATTGCATCAAGTTCTAGTACCTCGTTGCGTTTAGAGAGTATCGCCAAAAGAACCGAAATCATTAGGATCTAAAAAAATATAGAAGACTATCGTGACACAATCATCAGCTTCGAGAAAAAGTAATGCTGTCGTTTAACTCTAAAGAGACTAATTATCTGTTTCCGGAACTCAATCCGAATCCAAGGCGCTTTTTTAGGGCTCACCGAATATTTAAACTAACCTTAGAACCTATTAACAAGTCATGAATATATATATATATATATATATATATGCAGGCATCCCCAAATGACAGAAACATAATTACCCTACTTCTACCAACAGTAGTATGTTCCACCTCATTCTCCTACCCCTAACATTCGGAGTTTTAATTTCCAGTTGACAGAATAATCACAGAACCTGTAAATACTGCTCAAGTATCGTTGACCACACGATAGTCAAACTATCATTGTGAGTTCCTTATAGTTCATTTAAAAACAACTGAGTACTTTGTGATATACAATTTATTCCTAATTACTTATCACCTAACTGTTACGTCCAATTTCTGCTCCTTCCTTTTGTGAAGTATTGTGTGTCGATCTATTTGCAATTCACGAACCCAAATCAATGACAAAACGAAATTCCAAAGTTAGGTACCAAAGTTTATTTTTAATTCACAAATAATCGACCAAAATGTCGTTCGTCGAATTACAAATAGACGACTAATGTCGTTCTAACAATAATAATTATAATAATTACAATTACCTTCAATTTTGTAGGTTCCTGGAGCAAAAAACTGCAAACGAACAAACCAAGGCAAACAGGAGTCCAAAAATGGCCGAAAATAATAATTCCAACTAGTTCATAAGTTAGGTTAAACAAATATACCCAAAAACACAGTGAAATTAATAATATTTATATAAAGATTTTAACCAGTCAAATGTCTTCATTTCTCCCGTAACACCTTATGAATTTTTAACATCATTTTCTTCATTTTATCTCGTCAACTGCCTATCTTTCCCATATTAAAGCTTGCTAATAATTGACACTTATCTTGCAACTTGTACTGTCAGTTAACTTAAGAGAAGTGTGAAATGCTACATGGATACAGATTACTGAAGCTAATGATGTTTGGCCTGCTTGTTACATGAAGCTAGTAGAAACGGTGTATTACGACGCGGTGTGCAGGAACTAAAGATCAGACTAAAACCATAACAAAAACATACCACGAAACATAAGAAAGCCTAACAGAGAAAAGGAGGAAGGGTATTGTACTGGACCAGCAGTCATGACATTCGGGCGATAACGCCAGTCTACCCATGTCCGTGGGACATTTTGTTTGCTTACGGCCCCTTACGATGTAGCAGCATGTAACCAAATGATGATATTGATGTAACTCTTACATGCTTGACCACGTTTGCGACTCATGTTTGTAACCTTGAAGTGGTTTCACTTCCTACCAAGAAATCCTGTTACAAGTTGATCTGGGGAATTATGTTGAGGAGAAATTCATGCGTGACTTTTTAGGCAACGGTGGTAAAAGAACGACAAATCGTATATCACCGATGAATCATATTACTGTCTTTTTTATAACATTCTGTTGACTTACATAATTTTCAACGATTAAGTTCGTTTGAATCTGTTCAATTCATACAATCACTTACTCACTCGACATACCATTAGTGACTTGTTTTCGTTAGTCTATATAAATTCCGGTGTGCAGTAATCAATGTAATACCGAAAAAATTGTCTGGATAATCAAACTTTTAATGTTTTATTCAAAAACGCATTTAACGTGTCATGACTCGGCTTTAAACACGAATATTTTATGTTCTGCTCCTCGCTCCCTGCTCCCCCTATCGCTCTTTTACCACTTCACCCTGAGTCCCAAATATTGACTTCCATATTCATGAAGGCTTACGGCTATGTTTCTCAGATGCCTGTTGAACTTTTATTTGAAAAAAGCCATCTATGTGACCAATATAGACTTACCTCAACGACTCTTGTTTTGTACAGCCCTCGACCGAGTTTGCATTAATACTTGACCAGCAGTCTCTCGCCGTATAGCAAATGACATAGTTGGAGCCAACTATTGGATTGTACATTCTAGAAACTGAGACATTTACAATTTTTTTGAAAAACATTGGCCCTCTAAAAAAGCCAGTAGAATTTGAAGCCTTCCTGTAAACGTAAATTAACAGTCCATACAGTGGCATGTCAATCTGTTTATTAGTATTATGCAATTTTTGTAACCTATCACGATCTTCAGGGAAGTGGATATAACGACAGCTTTTCAATGGACAATTACTCAAAAACAAATCCTATGTCTACACACTGAAAAAAATAGAATTCAATGAGGGCAGTGTTTTAAAACTTTTAAAGTTTTCAGACGTCAGTAGACCACGAACTTAGGAAACACTAAACTCACTCAACTAACCTTGATAGACTGAATTCACTAATTTTATTTAATGTTTCAGTGTCGGAGGGTAGCTTACTGGAAGGTAGGGCTGTATTTGGTAAAGTACGATTGGACAAGTACTGCGCAAGCCTCGGAAAGTTCAGTAACGAGGCCGAAATATGCCCGGTACAACTTGCTGAAGATATTCTCCTCAAATTTCAGAGGCCCTCGGTTAAATTGTTCTCCCCGATCCGAGTCAGGCACAACAAACCGTGGCCAGTTCCAGCAGAAGTCAGGATATCACGAGGCACCTACGAGCAAACTAGTATGGTAGTCCACAGCGTGCTCGAACTGGTTGGTGGTGGTTTGGATGAGGCTCACGTGCATGACGTGCAACAGTGGCGAAGCCTGCGCCTTCGCAACGCCATGACAACTAGTATTTCTCGGCCGCCCCGTGCGTCACGCCTCGCTATCATCAAGTCCCGACATCTGATAGCGGTGGAATTAAGAATCGGCAAGAGCTAACTGAGGCGCTTCAGTCTTTATACAGCTCCAAACAGGAGGCTGAGTGACTGCATATGCAACAGCCATTTGAAATCCCAGGCTCCCAACAGAATAAATTATTATTATTAGAATCATGTTGGTGTTGCTTCCACACAAACGGCAAGAAATACTTGTTCGGAGGGATTTTCTGGCCCCCTCAGGTACTAAAGCTCAGAAAGATAAACTGATTTAGGCGATACTGCAAATACCACTCCTTCGGTTTGATCAACTACTCTTAGCAGCAGATTTCAACACTCCTCTAAATCTCAGCAAACAGGTTCAATTCGCTCTAGTAGCCATTAGAAGTTCTGTTCTGACTGAGCATGTATTCTGCACCACTAGGTGGACTAAGGACGGAAAATCCTCAAACTTGTTAACGAACGATCAGATCTTGTTCATGGATCTTTACGTCCATGCACCAGGACGAACTAGTGACCATGGAAAAGTCATATTTAACATTATCATAAACGAAACACTCAGGCAGGAAGAAAACGAGTCCTACCTTTCTACACTAGGGCAAATTACATGCTCATGAGAGAGAACCTTCTATATGCCCCATGGCCACGGGAACGATTGAGGTTGTAAAAAGATGACCACTGGCAAACATCATCAAACAGACCGGCAGACATTATCCAGGATACAATCCTAGGCAATATACCTCATGTACACTACACACCAGGAAAGAGAAGAACTATGGTCAAGGGAGGCAATCAACGCTTGCTACAGGGGAAAAGGAGAGCATGGTACAAGTGGCAAGTCTCTCCGAAGGATTTCAACCGTAGTTCGTACTTGGCATTGAGAAACAGATGCATCATCAACGTTCAAAATGATAGGAGACACATTCAAATGAAGCTAGCTATACAAATACAAACGAATCCTAAGCATCTGTTTAGGTTCATTACAAAAAGAAAACCTACCAATTAGGGTTTGTGTTCATTCAGAGTTTCCGATGTAGAAATTCTCACCAACATAGAAATGGCTGAGATCTTGAATACCAACTTCACCGATCATCTAAACCAGGTATCTACATGTTCAGAGTACCACTCAAACCCAATGCCAACTGACGGCCTAGGGAATGTCCGCTCCTCAACTTCGAGAGTTCCACAGGCGTCCATCTTGGGTCCACTTCTCTTCCTGATATTCATTTACGATCTTTTAAACAAAGATCGGCGCCAGACGAGGCAAATATCTGCAGGTCCATTAGAAGCAAGGAGGGTTCGACTTACATCCATTGAGGAATGGGCAATGAAAAATAGTTTAAAACTGAACCAGCCGAAGTGACATATTATGTACATTCTGTCCCGCATCGTGCAGAAGATTAACTCGTGAAGAAGATATCGAACATTGGATTAGGTTGCTTTTCAACATGCGGCACCGCAGAGGTTCTAAGGAAAGATGTGTGTAACTTTCTGTGTAGCATAGAGTATGGTCTCATCTTAGCAGTCTCTGAGTGAATCTTCGTTGGACGTTTTCTACTTTTATCTTACCGTGATCACAACCTGATATGAGTGACTGAACCCTAGATTTTTGTGTGAATAGTGGCGTTTCAAAGTGAGACTTACCACAATCCATGATGCTACATTTGTTCTGATTAATAGGCGGCTGCCATGTTTAGCTCCAAGTAGATAATTTGTTCAGGTCGCTCTGAATCCTGGCTATATTTTCGTCCTGATCTTCAGGCTTAAAGCTGTATACTATTTTAAAATCACCTGCATGTAAATATAATCTTCCAAATTTTATAGTTTCACATGTTTCGTTAATGTACGTAAGAAACAAGAGAGGACCTATTACACTAATCTAGATAACTCCACTGGTTATTGTTCTTGATGATGAAAGGCATTCGTCATACTTTATCATTTGTTGACATCCGTTTAGGAATGAAACAAACCACAAATATAGTAGGTTACTGATTCTGAATGACTTTAGTTTAGGGAGAAGCTCATTGTTTATGACCTCATCAAAAGCTTTCTTAAAGTCAAACAATAGGGCTCATACGAGAAG